TTATTTGCTCTAGATTTAAGAAATGGAAATCCCCTTCTAATTTTATTAGTTTACTACAATATATCCCGTGAATGTATATTGAAATTTCTTTCTATCATTATTTGTCTATACCCATTGATTAATCTATTACATTCTCTCCTGTTGTATGTTGAATTGCATACCTAAAATTCACATGTTGAAGTCTTTGATCCCATTACCTCAGAATTTTACTGAATGTGTGCATATGACCTTTAAAACGGTTAAGGTAAAATGTGGTCATGAGAATGGCCCTCATAAATAGGGCTGTTGTCCTCATAAGAAGAGGGTATTATAACAAACACAATAAGAAAATATGGGAAGACAGAGGGAGGTGACAGCCACTTCTAGCCTAGGAAACAGCTTCAGAAGAAACTCGCCCTAACAACAGACTGATCTTGTAGTCTCCAGAATTTTATGGAAATTATTTTATTTTTTTTAAGCCATCCACTCTATGATACTTTATATTCACTTCCGTAGAAAAGTTATATACTTCTTTGATATTTTAATGTAGGGAATTAACATTGAAAATATATTTTAATGTTGAATCATGTTTTCATTTTCATTTGTTCATTATATTCACTGCTAAGACATTTACTGCCATGTGAGTAAGCCTGGTTCAAGTGTTATTTTCAGAGAGAATCCTCAACTGGTGTCTGAATCAAAGAGAGCTAGCTTGGGAGAAATATTTGAATTATTTTGTATTCATTAGAAGATATTACATGAGACGGTGATTTAGTTCTCCCTGACCATTTAGTAGAAATGACCCTCAAATCTCCCTATTCTAGAAGATTTAAGTGTGACGTTAGCTTTGAAAACAGTTTCAGTTTGTATTATTCATTTAGAATTCTCTGTTTACAAACTTATATTTTTCTTAAGAAGTTGTCCATTTCACTTGATATGTCAAGTTTAATTGCATGATATCTTTAATAAAAAGCTTTTATTACAGAAATTCTAAAATATACACACCAATGAAAAGAATAGTTAACAAATTTCATTACCTGATACTTAGTCTCAGTAATTAATCATCAATGCATGGTAAATCTGGTTCTAAGTATACCCCCATCTACCCACCCATATCTGCTACTGTAATAATGTTAAGAAAATCCAAGAAATAGCATAATTTATCCTCTAATTATTCCAAGTATACATTAAAAATGACTAGGAATATTTTGTAAACTTTAAATAATTATTAGTTTAAAATTTTTAAAATGTCATTGATATCATATAACCATTTATCTTTCACAATTTTCTTGAATTGGTACCCAAACATGATCTATACATTGGGACTTTTAATGATGTCCTCTAAGTCATTTTTAATCTACATCCTTTCCCCACATCACCTTTTTATCATTGTAGTTAATTTTTTATTGTTACAAAAACACATACACTGGTCTTGTGTTCTGTCCTGTTGCTCATAGTCTGGAGTTTTCAGACTTCAATACTTCAGTGTCCTGTAATATGTTCTTAAGTCTCCTGTATTTCATTACTTGCTAGTTAGAGATAGAAACTTGATCAGATCTTCTTTTATTTTTTATTTTGCAAGACTACTCTGTAAGTGATGATTTGTACTTCTATTAGGAGGTACATAATGCTTGGTTATCTCCTTTATGCTGATGCTGGCAGTCATTGATCATCATCATATTTATCTATTAATCCCTTAAGCAGTGTTTCCCAAACTATTGACATATGTGTATCCCTTATATAATTTTCGTAACACTGAGTACCCTCGTACTCATGAGAACGTAGAATTAGGCGCAGCTAAGTATGGTGCAGTGCATATCCCCACCAAACTCCAGTGCAACGTGTATCCTCACCAAACTCTTCCCCCGTACCACACTTTGGGAAACATTGCCTTTGGGGTTGGAGAATTCTCTCATTTGTTTTTAATTTATTATTGAAGTACTTCTATATGCAGAAACTTTCCCTGTTTACCATTTGTTTTTTTTCTGAGAGAAATATATTTGTTGTGTTCTCTTACAATACTGCAATCTCTTCTACACTTATTTTTGTACGGTTTTTCTCTGTTATAATTTATTTCTGATTTCTTTTTTTAAATATATTTTATTGATTTTTTTTCAAAGAGGGAGGGAGAAGGATAGAGAGTTAGAAACATCAATGAGAAATATTGATTAGCTGCCTCCTTTTGTTTGGGGTTCTCTGGGCTTCCATGGACTTGTAAGTCTACTTCTTTCAACAGGTAGAGGAAGTTTTCTGTCATTATTTCTTCAAATAGGTTTTTAATATCTTGCTCTATCTCTTCTTCTGGCACCCCCATAATTCTGATGTTGGTACACTTGAAGTTGTCCCAGAGACTGCTTACACTATCTTCATATTTTTGGATTCGTTTTTCTTTTTGCTTTTCCAGTTGGGTGTCTTGTGCTTCTTTGTATTTCAAATATTTGACTTGATTCTTGGGATCCTCTAGTTTACTGTTGGATCTATGTATATTATTCTTTATTCCAGTCAGTTTATGCTTAATTTCTAATTGGTCCTTTTTCATATCCTTGAGGGTCTCACTAAATTTCTCAGAGGTTTCTAGAAGATCCTTGGTTTTGAACTCTATATCCAGTAATTTTCTTTCCTCCATTTATTTCATTTGTGACCTGTTTTTGTCTCCACATTTTGGCTGCTTCCCTGTGTTCATAAAGTGGATTTGTGTGCTAGGTATCCTATAGGGCCCAGTGGCTCAGCCTTCCAAATTACCTGAGGTAGACACTCTCGGTGAACCCCTTTGTGGGCTGTGTGCACAGTCTTGTAGTTAAGCCTTGATTGCTATTGGTATCACTGGGAGGAATTGATTTCCAGGCCAATTGGCTGTGAGGACCAGCTGTGTCTACAATGGGAGGACTTCTGTGCTGGAGACACCCTTATAAGGCAGGACTTGCTTCAGTGGTGCTTTGGTGCTCACAGAATCTGCCCTCTGAGTGTGTCTCTTATGGATGTTAAGAGTTGTAATCTGGATGGGTACACTGGCTCTGACCACTGGGTACACTGGCTCTTGGATCTCCAAGGAGGTGCAAAGTCAGTCACTACCCGAGGCCACCCAGCAGGAGATACAGAGAGATCTGCAGAGTCCTTTTTGTTTGGGGTTTGGAAGTGTCCAGATGAGGCCCAGCTGTGAAGCAGGACCTTCTTTTGGAGGCTCTGAGGCTCTTTGACCCAGCTGCAGTACCTTAGGTTTCAGATTGCAAAGGGCCAGGTCATTCATGTGCAAAAGCCTCTGTGCACAGCTTGGGGAGGTTTGTAAATTGTGTGGGGTGGGGTCTCAGGGAATCACCAGGGTAGAGCAAACAGCAATGGCTGACCATCAGCCCTGCCTGGAAGAGTTCCTGGGTCTGGTGGCACCTGCAGGAACAATGATCACTGCAAACACCTCTGAGAGAAACCTGCCCTTGATTTCGGCTCAATGCCAGACAGTCCAGTTTCTCCACATATGAGTCTGGGTCCCCAAAGTCTCACCCTGAACTGGAGTTCAGAGCAGTCAGATGCTTGTATCTCCTTCCTGATTGAAAAAGACAACAGTGTATTCAGCTGCTAGTCTTTTCTGCCCGCTTGCCTCCATACCTCCGCACTTCACTTCTGCACCTCCACCCCTACTCTAAGTCTTAATGTGCTTTTCTCTTTCCTTCTAGTTGTATAATTTCCACCCAGCCAG